GATTCTTCTTGGCATTGACTCCATGAGATGTTGAAAGGTGATGCGAGGAATCTGACACCATGCCTGATGAATAGCACTGTCCAGTTCTGTGAGATTTGATGGTTGTGGAACCAGCTGCCTGATGGCTCTTTTAACTTCGTCCCACAAATGCTCAATTGGATTGAGATCTGGTGATTGTGGGGGCCACCTAAGCAAGGTAAAGTCTCCCTCATATTCTTGAAACCACTCCTGCACAATACGAGCACTGTGGCATGGCGCATTGTCTTGTTGAAAGAAGCCATTGCCATTGGGATACGCCAATCAACATGATAGGATGAACTTGATCAACAATGATACTTAGGTATATTGTGCTATTCAGACGTTGTTCCACATGAATTAAAGGGCCCAAATCATGCCAGGAAAACATGCCCCAAACCATAACACTGCCCCCACCAGCTTGAAGGGTTGTACTCATGCATGTGGGGTGCATGCTTTCATGCTGTTTCCACCAAATTCTCACTCTGCCATCTGCATGATGCAACTGGAAACGTGATGCATCGGACCACATGACTTTTTTCCAATGCTCGACTGTCCAATCCTTGTGTTCCTGTGCGAATTGGAGACGTTTTATCTTGGTAACTGCAGACAGCAAAGGTGTTCAAACAGGCCTTCAGCTTCCATATCCCACACGATGCAGTGTACAGCTAATTTGCCTACAAACATCAGGTGGTCATAATAATCTGGCCACTCAGTGTATTTATGAAGTGCTTCCCGGCTGCCGGGCACTGTGTGGTGGCTGAGGAGTCAGCTGTGTGCAGAACAGATGAACTCTGCTCTCAGTAGAGCTGCCATGCCAGTGGGGGAAACAGGCACCGACCAGACAAACAGGTACGTCATAAATAAGTGGGGACACACAGACGGAAAAGGGGAAAAAAATGCCCTTTATGCAAGGGACAGAGCTTTAGAGTCAGACAGACCCAAATTCAAATCCCAGACCTACCTTGGCTGCCCGTATAACTCTTGGGAAAGTGATTCTATCTCCCTGACACTCTTCTATGTTCAATTGGATCCATTGATCATTCATCCACCCATTGAACAAATATTTACAGTTCTGTCTTGAGTCAAGCATTCTTTTGAGTGCTGGGGAAGCTGCAATGAATAAGACAGACAAAAATCCTTGCTCTTGGGAGCTTAAACTCTAGAGGAGAGAAAGAGACAATGCATATACACATATACACATATTGGGTGATGAAGAAAGAGAAAAGGGCCTGGCTGGCGTGGCTCAGTGGTTGAGCGTCGACCTATGAACCAGGAGGTCATGGTTTGATTCCTGTGTGGGGCTTGCAGTGGGCAGCCAATCAGTGATTCTCTCTCATCATTGATGTTTCTACCTCTCTCTCCCTCTCCCTTCCTCTCTGAAATCAAGCAATATATATAAAGATAAAAAAGGGTAAAGAATGATGGGAAGAGAGCTTTTTGTATAGGGCAGTCAGGGTGACTGAAGAGGTGACACTTAACCTGAGGCCTGCTGGACTTGGGGGAATTGAAGACAATTCCAGGCAGAGGAGAAAGGAAGGCAAAGGCCCTGAGGTAGGCCCTGGCATAGCTGTTGAGGATTAGAGACCAGAGACAAGGTGTGTGAAGCACCTGGCACAGGACCTGTGTAGGTTGCAGATTATTATCTGTGTCCCTTTCTTGAAAAATGGCCGCTGAGTCATTTTCCACCATCATCAAAATTATTGAGGGCTCTGTGGGTTGGTGACTTTGTCATTCACTTTTCTCCTCTTGTTTCCTGAGTGGGAACCGGCAAGTCAACCAGCCCACCTGCCAGCCCGCCTCTATCTCCAGGCCAAGCCAGCAGGAATGTGTGACATGTGGTAGTGGCTCTGGGGGGAGGAGGATGCGTAATGAATAATGGCCATTAAATAATAATGGCAGCATCTTGAATTTCTTTCCTCTCCGAAGCCTCACAAATTAGACACCCTGGAAATGCTGTGCCCGCCGCCAAGATGCACCTCCATCTGGGGTGAAAGGCAACATCTGCTAAACAGCTGCATCTTGTTTAAGAGCTGGCACTTAATTAAATTACTCAGTTCTGGTTGGGGCAAGCGGAGCTGAGCAGGAGGGGTAGACCCAATCCCAAGAACATACTCCACCTCTCCCCAAGTTGACCCTCACTCCTCTCCCATAGTGGCCCTCCACACGCCTGTTCATCCCACCGACCTGGGCATCTTCACATTTCCAGGACATGCAGGCCATGCTCACTCCTGCTCACCCATGGCCTTTACTCAAGCTGCGCCCCTGCCAGGAACCCACTCCTCCTGCCTGACCAACTCCTCCATGTCTCAAAGGCCCAATTCAAACATCAACGTCTCTTCCATGAGGCCTTTTCCAACTTCCCAGTGACCTCCTCCCTTGAGCTCACACAGCACTTTGTGCGTCCCTTGACTGAGGATTCATGATTACATTGCAGTGTCGTGAACCCTGCCATTTTGTGAGCTCCTTCATGGGAACCATATTTAATTCATCCTTGTAATCCCAGCATTGTGCCGGACTCCCATAGATAATAAATGTTTGGTTAATGGATGGAGGGAGGGATGGATGGGTGGATGGATGAGGGATGGAAGGAAAGGAGGGAAGAAAGAAGGAACAAATAAACAGATGGATCCACTGCCACCATCCAAATCCAAGCCACCATCATTTCTCACTGAGACAAACAGCACAGTCACTTACTGCCTTGTATCTTTTATTCCTGCCCTCAATAGTCCATTCTATTTAGAGCGCCCAGGAATCTTTTAAATGTGGAATTGCATTATGTCACTCCTCTATTTAAAACCTTCCCGTAGCTTCCACATTCCTAACCCTAGTTTACAAATCCCTATTGGATCCAGCCCCTTCCTGCCCTTCTGATCTTATCTCCTCATTTTCCTATGATCCAACTGCTTTGGGAACCAGCCAAGCTCTCTCTCATCTCAGGGCCTTTGAATCTGCTGTTCCCTGGCCCCGGACTCAGTTCCCTTGGTGTCTGTGAACCTGGAATCCTCTTAGTCTTCAGGTCCAGCTCTCATGTGACCTCCTCAGCGAGGCCTTTCTTTACCTTCCTGTTAAAATATCTACCGTCTTGATCCCCCAAGGCAAAGGGGGCTCGGTTCAGACAAGCAGGGCTTTGGCTGTTGAATTCCAAGGGGTTCCCCACAGCATCCGATCCGCCTCATCTGGGGGTGGTGGTGGTAGGGACCTCCCTCCAGGGTAGCCACAAGCCACCCTTCCCCCCAAGGCTCACTCCCCCTCTCCATCAATTGAAGATCCTTCATGAATGGGCTTGTTTGGAACTGCTGCAATTAAACCATCAGAGCAACATTGGACCATTTGTTTACTATGGCACTTAGAGCAGGAATGGCTTGTTGTTTTGATGGTTTCTATTTTCAGCTCCGTTTCCTAGGGGCAGCGGGAAGGGGGTAGGAGATGAATCCTGGTCTATTCAAGCAAAAAGATGCTTCAGTGAATCCTAGAATTTCTAGATTCATGGTTGTGGAATGTGAGGGCAGTAAAAATCTGTAATGTTAGTTACAGGTTCCTGGATTCATGGGATTCTAGAATCTTATGCAACAAAAAATAGAATCTTAGTGTCACACCAGGTTAGACTCAAAGTCTCAGCGAGATGGAATCCTGGGATTATCTCACTTGGTTGAGTTCTCTGCTCCTTCGCAGAAGACCTTCTCTGGTGACCTTCTCTACAATGTGCCCCCCACCTCACCCACACTCTGCCACTCACGGCTGTTTTACTCTGGCTCGTGTTTCTTCATAGCCCCGATCACCACCTGACATCTGATGCATTTCTCTGCTTACTTGCTGATTGCCTGCCTCTCCCACACATTGGATTGAGGTCAGGAACTCTTGTTTTGCTCACTGTTTAGAAAGTATTTAGAACAATGCCTGAGTGAGGACTAAAAAAAAAGGAAGAAAGAAAGAAATCATCCATGCATCCCACAAATATTTGAATGTCCCCTTGGAGATGAACTTGTCCAGGATGGGAGTTGGGTCGAATTCTGCACCCCTAATCCAATTGCAGTAAACACCAGAGTATTGTGTTGAAAGGGTTCTCAAGGCTCATCCAAGCTCCCTGCGGGAGGGTGATCAATGAGCAGGGTCTGGCATGGACCCAGCATCTCTGCTCTGGCCTCTCATCTTACACTTAACACACCCGAGGTCCAGCAGGGGATGGGAGGGCACCAGGGTCAGCCAGCGTGGGGTTGTGGGGTCGCTACAGCCAGGATGAGACCCCCCCCCCCCCCTGCCCCCCCAGCCCCCCCTCCCAGGGCTGCTGCCTGAGCCGCTCGCTCTC